TTGTTCAAATTGCTGGCTAGACTGGTGGGAAATCACAAGAGAACATGGCTGGAAGAAGGGTCTTCTCTCAAGAGCATCTTGGAGGCTGAGGTAGGGAATAAATGCCTGTATGACATGGCTCTTTTAGATCTGCTCGGGAAGAGAGGTTGGTTATTGGTGACCAGTGCCTGGTGACCTGCCTCCTTAGTTGAGTAGTTTCTGTGCTGTGGCTTCAATGTGGTTTGCATGGGATCATTAAATAAACATGTGCTGAAATTTTGCATATTTCCTCAGCAAAATTTTATTATACCTCCATCAAGGAACAGGAGCGCCATACTTATTAAAATCAGTAGAATCCTGTATCCTTAGCTTGGTGGAGAGCAAGCACAAATATGCAGCCAGGGATGCTGTGTGAGGTGACCTGTTGGCCTGAGTCTGTCATGCTCTGTGGTCTCCAGTGGAACGGCAGCTGCAGGACTCTTATTTTTGTGATGTGAAGCATGTCTGGGTGTGTGGCAGAGGGAACTGAAATACACTCTGCTGACTTTTTATACCTTCATATTTTTTTTTCATTGCTCATTTTGGAAAAGGGAAGCCCTCACTGGGGCCAAATTAATGGGTTTTGCTCTAAATTAATTTCATTCCTCCCCTACACCCTAATGGCAACTGACTTCCAGTGATATGGAAAGGCAATATGGTGAACTTCTCAGCCCCCAAAGGGAGATTTCCAATGAAGGCCAAGAGGTTCATGTTTAGGTGGACAGATTTTTCTGTGATGGGCAAAGGAATGCCCTGGGAGACTTAAAAGACCCTCAAACCACATGCTAAATAGCAAGAAACCTTCAGGCTTTAAGGCTATTCTATCTAGAGCTACAATTTGATCGGGGGATTATTAAAATTTCTATTTAATTCTACTTTGGGAAATTGGGCTTTCATCTTCTCTGCTGATGTATTTATTATTTCAATCTGCTCTTTTATTTTCTTTGGATAGTCTTTTTCATTGTTATTTTAAAACATTATTTTAATAATTCTTAAAAATTCTTTAAAATATTCCAGTTCAGCTTTCTTTTTTCTTTTTTTTTTTTGGGGGGGGGAAGGGGGGGTACCAGGAATTGAATTCAGGGGCACTCAAACACTGAGCCACATCCCCAGCCCTATTTTGTATTTTTTATAGAGACAATGTCTCACTGAGTTGCTTAGTGCCTTGCTTTTGCTGAGGCTGGCTTTGAACTTGTGATCCTCTTGCCCCTGAGCTTCTGGGATTACAGGCATGTGCCACTGTGCCTGGCTCAGCTGTTTAAAAGTTAATTCAATTCAGGGATCCAGCAGCCCCAAGGTGAGGCAATCGTGATTTCAGACAAACTTCTTTTCCTCTTGCAAAGTTGTGTTTGTGGGCTCATTTCTCATACTGGTGGCAGTTAGAAGCACAATGTTTACTGTGGAATTAGGTCCATTGTTGCTCCACAGAGTTTGGTGTGAAAGGCACTTCACTTTTGGGCTCCCTTAGGAATTGTCCTGAGGCTTTGGATTCTGATATTTCACAAACACTTTACACAGATGCTGTCGGAAGCAGCCTCACTCTTGTCTGCTCAGATAGAGTAAGTTACAGGATTCCTTGGCAGGTGGTTGCGGACACAGGAGTGGGCATCAGGCGACCTTGGGAGCTGTGGGACTTTGCAACTGTAATAGCAGGAGGCGGGGACTTAGAAATTGCTCTGCATACACTCTGTTGTTTCAGGGCACATCTGTTGACACTGGCTTCCAAGGAAGTCCAGGCATTAGAAGGCGATACTCTCTGCTGGCAGCACTTCCTCCAAACCCTCTTTGTTCATTGATTTAAAAACAACAGGAGGCAGGAAGCCCAAGATCCTGGAAGTGCCCAGCTGGTCTCTGTCCAGCCAAGTGTGTGGTGTGTCCCCTTCCTGGTAGGGAGTGAAACTTGGAGGCCTCTGGGCCCTTCCCCAGAACTGTATATGCAAATCAAAGTGGGAAGAGCAATGTACCTCTCTTTGATCTGGGCTGAGATGTGTGCATACGGGATGGAGCCTTTCTTGTCTCCTAGCTAAGGTTAGAGGGTGACCACAGTGTTCGGACCCCCTAGATAACTTCATACCCTGAATTTTTCACAAGTCCACAGTGCCTTAGTCTGCATTTTGTGCTGAAGGAATACCTGGAAGTCCAGCTAGAAACAAGCATGGGTTGGATGACATGAGTGTGAATGATGCTGATGTGGCTGTGGTGACCCTGAGAAGGGGTAAGCAGAATATGGGAGAAGCAGGTATCCCTGCTGTTTGCCAAGTAAGGCCACACCTAGGTTCCATGAGCAGCATGGGGCATCAATAAACAGATACAGACATGGCAAGTGGAGTTTATATGGGAGTGATACACCCAGAAAGAATGCTTGGGGTTAAAAAAAATGTCACTAAGAATTGCCTAAGGACTGGGAAGTCATTCAGGTCTCCAGGACCTTCAGATGCTAAAAAAGGATATTACTACTAATGATAATATTAGTTCACATATATAAAATGTTTATCCCGTGCCAAATTCTATTGCAAGCACTTTACATGTTGTAGGGTTGTAGGATAATATTATCCAATTATCCTACAACATGCATACCATTATGATCCTCATCTCATGGAGAAGAAAGCTATAAATGGATGAATTGTGAGTTTCTTTAGAAAGCAATGTAAGGAAATATAGTTCTTCTTACCACAGACAGGTTCAGTAGAAGGAAAAGCTTTCTGACATTATAGTTCTCCAAAGGACAGTGGAAGGGATGGAAGGAAGAGAAGAACAAAACATGTATTAAGCATCTACCTTATGCCTGAGCCTGGCCTTGGTATCTCCCGTGAATCACTTCAGTTAATCCTTGCAATAATTGTATTAGGGATGGGTTATTATTTTCATTTTACAGATGAGGAAACTGAGGCCTAGAGTCATTAAATAAAACTGAAAATTTTCTAGCAGTAAGTAGCAACCTAGATTTGAATACCAGTGTTTTTGGCTCTCTCGTTCATTGCTGTTGCTACTCAGAATCAAGGTGAAGGTGATTGGAGGCACAGATACTAGGCCAGCTTCTCCTGTTGTATACTCATATGTCAGCCTGAATTTCACAGGCTTTGGCCTTCGTTCCGCTGGTAGCTGTTTTATTGCTTATATTCCTGACTAGACTGCAAGATGAACATGGTGCCCAGGAATTTGAAAGAGTGAATGAAGACCAGTACAGAACCCTTGTTATGACAAGAAAAGTTAAAATGAGGATAATTAATCTCCCGTTGGGATGTTGTAGAGAGATTCTTCTGTTAAATCAGGGATGAATTATTGGTGATTCCAATCCCAGCATGTCTTCAGAATTACCAGAGGGATTTCTATCCATGTTGACTCTTAGGCCCACCCAGAATTAGATTCTCTGGGAGCAGGGGCCTGGCTATCAGATTTGGCATCACTCTGGTTGATTCTGCTACATGGTCAGGTGAGGGACCCCAGCTGATGTGTCTGGAGACTAGCCTGATGCACATCATCTATCCCTGGGCTTGCTTCCTTCTTGCTACCTGTGCCTAAGCTTCTCTGCCTACTGGGCTTTGAGGCAAGGCCAAGCTGATACCTACAGCCCAAAGGGAGGTCTTGTGCTGACTCAGGCCCAGGACCTTATCAGCTGAGTATTTGCTGAGCAAAGTTCAGCTAAGGCAGCACTCTGGATCCGGGTTTAGCAGCTACTCAGGCTTCCGGGCCTTTGATTCAGAGACCCGGTCCTTGGGGCCCTTATCAGTGAATAATAATGGGCCCCGTATGTGAGTCCTAAGGGTCAGCGCTTCTCACCACTCTTGGCTGATCTAGGCCTGGCCTCCAAGGATCCAGGGCCCCTAGACCACAGGCTGTCTGAGCAGGCACATTGTCACAGCATAGCCAGGATTACTTTTGGCTTGCTCTCCCTGGTTAAGATGAACCCTATGATCTGGCCCATATTTGGATTGGTCTTTTGGTTTCTTGTATTTGGGTTGGTGCTTTTAGTTTCTTTGATTACAAAGGTAGAGAAAACCTTTTAGCAGCAAGGAAAACCTGGTCCCAGGTTGTATAGTTCACCATTAGGTGTTTGTCCTATGTCCTGGGCGTTCCAGAGAACCTAGGTGCCACTTGCTATAGCCCATTAATTCTAAAGGTACTGAAGAGGTGAAGGAAAGATGAATGAAAGCACATTTAAAAAAATCACCAATTGATTAATCAACAAATAGCTACTGAACTCATTAGGGACATGCCACTTGAGAAGATATAGATAAATAAGGTGTAATAGCTCACCTTGGGAAGTTTATAATCTAGCTGTGGCATTAGAAATTTGTACCAAAAATAATATTATATGCAGATAAAAATTTCTTGAGTGCTTACTGGGTATCTGATTTTATTCAAAGCATATAGCTAATTTCTTATTTATTAGGTCAAGTGACTCCTCAGAATATTCTTTTGATAGTAAATTCAGAGTCTCAGGGGCAGGATTCGAGGCCTGTGCCATTGGACTCAGAGTCCCAGATCTTTCTGCCGCCCTCTGCTGCCACCTATGATGAATACTAACCAGATCTGGGAATATTTGAGTTGTGGTTATAGAAATTCCATAGTTTATAGGCGTTGAAAGACGTAGGAGAGAATCTGCCCATGGTAAAATCTCAAGAGATGAGAAGGTAAGACATATAGGGACCATGCAGAGAAGAAGACAGACCTTCTAGTGGAATCAGAGTGTATGTAGCTGTTACTGCGCAAAGTGGTTAGAAAAATGGTTCAGATCTCACTGTGAAGTCCTTTCATTTTAGACAGGGGGGTTGGGCATCAACTTCTGGGTGTGAAGGAGCCACAGAGGGCTTGAGGGCAGGAAGAGTGACAATACTGGGAGAAATATTCTAGGAAGTCTCATGTGGTCCTCGTGTTCAAGCACAACTTAGTAGAGTAGGCGGATCCTTGAGACAATGGACACCTGGGTTTGGGGTTTGTCTGAGAAGGGCCACAGGTTCCAGTAACATTGCTTTCCACAGCCACAGCTCCAGAACAAGCTCCGGCCCCACCTCGGCCATACCAGGGTGTCCGAGTGAAGGAGCCCGTGAAGGAACTGCTGAGGAGGAAGCGTGGCCATGCCAGCAGCGGGGCAGCTGTTACACCTACTGCGGTGAGGGGGCCACATGGACAGTGTGTGTGTTGGGGGTCACAGAGGGTTGGGCAGGAGTGTACCCTTTGGGGGAAGGAAGGCAGGCAGTTACATGGGGATGTATAGGAGATGGACCTAGTTCCTTGAGGTGGGATGAGGGGCGGGGGGCCGGCTTGCTCAGCCCATTGAACAGAGAGAGTTGTTGATGAGGTCTCAGGAGGTGAATGACACACACCTTGGTGTGAGTTGGGAGTTCCTTCTGGGAAGAGAAAGGTGCCATTTCCCTAAATCACAGCATTCTTGCAAAATGGAAACACAAATCCCTCTAAATGGCTGGAGTGTTTTATTCTGATCAGGGAGAGTCTTGCCTAAGCTTTCTACCCTGGATTCCCTGGATGGGTTCTCTGCATAGAACTGAGTGAAGATGGCTAAGCACCAGTCCTGTCCTGTCTTCTCCCTCTAGGTGGTGCTGCCCCATCAGCCCCTGGCGACCTACACCACAGTGGGTAAGAGCTCCCCATAGCCCTGGTGTCCTTCAGTCCCCTCATCTGGGTGGCATGGGCAGTTCTATAATTTCCTTTCTCCCACAGGTCCCTCCTGCCTTGACATGGAAGTTTCTGCTTCTACAGTGACGGAGGAGGGGGCCCTATGTGCCGGCTGGCTTTCCCAACCTGCCCCGGCCACTCTCCAGCCCCTGACCCCATGGACACCCTACACTGAGTATGTGTCCCATGAAGCTGTCAGCTGCCCCTACTCAGCTGACATGTATGTGCAGCCCGTGTGTCCGAGCTACACGGTTGTGGGGCCCTCCTCAGTGCTGACCTACGCCTCCCCTCCTCTCATCACCAACGTCACGGTATGTCACACAAAACAGAGCTATTCCTGCCTGCCTATGGCACCTGTTTAGAAGTAGGGCTTTCTGACCCCTGGTCTTCCTTGCTGTTGGTTCCCGGGATCATCAGGTCATCCAAGTCTACCATGTCCTCCAGGAGGCCTGCTCCTATTTTCATTTACCTAACTATCTCCCATAAAGATACCTGTCTTGTCGTGCTTTTTGTTCCTTTTGGTTGGGGAGAGCTCCTGCTTCTGTCCTGAATCTCTCCAGCTGGCCTGTAAGCAGTGAGTCTTGGTGACAAAGTTTTTAGTGAATGGGATACCAGGTGGACTCTGTCTTTCAATTCTAATAACTAAGGGAGTGATTTGTTCACTGATTGTGGGAAGATTTCTAGGCTGAGCAAAAGATGACAGAACTTTTCAGAAAACTGTATTTTTGAGTCAGACCCAGCTATAGGGTATTTTTGTTGTCTTTTGAGCTCTCTCTCTAATGTCAGATTGCTTGTGTTCAAATCCCAGCCCTTATAAGCTGTATGTCCCTGGCTTACTAACTTGACTTGTGGGAGGCTTAGTGTCCTCATCTGTAAAATGGAAATACTAACAAGAGGGTGATTGTTGGGATGAAATGAAGTTATGCATGTGGAAGTCTTAGCACAGTTCCTGGCATACAGAAATCACTCAATACATGTTATTTACTGTCATCACATCAAAGTCTGCCAGCAATGTCAACCAACGCCCTCCTTCAACTGCCAGGCAGGAAAGGAAGGTCCTGCTCCCTGCCACTCCTGCCCCCAGGAATGGGGGAAGGCAGTCATAGTTTTGTGAATGGTGTGACATATGTGACCAAAGGAATGGAAGTCCCTCCAGTGTGCAGGAAAGAAAAGGCCGATAGTTGTAGGGGTACCCAGCTGAACTCCAGGGAAATTGGGAAGTAGAGCTGGGTTTCCTGAGCAGTCATAGAGGCGGAGCTTGTTTTGGTTCACCATGACCCTTGGGTTCCCTGGAGGGTCTAGTGTCATCTGATACACCTGTTCCCTGCCTCTAAGCACCTTCCTGGGAAGGCTTCTGGAAGGCCCACCTGGCTATCCTTGACATGAAGGTCTCTGCTTCTACAGTGAGGGAGGAGGGGTCCCTGTGTGCTGGCTGGCTCCAGAGATGGAGATGTTTCAACACCTTCCTCAGGCAATTCATTTCCATATCAGGGGCCCTTGGCGGGGACAAAGAGGGCAGGACATAATGGTTCCCAGCCATTTCATTACCAAGGATTCTTTTCTTTATTTATTCCCTTTCATGATCCCCACCTTCTTCTTTGAAATGTTCTGTGTAGCAAACAAACTGTATTTAGTAAGAAATAATTTATTTGTTTTGCTATTTTGTGAATTAACTCATCAAAGCTGGCTTGTGCTACCAGTCAGCACTCCTGATCAGCAGAGATAAGAACTGTATGGTGCTGGTTTGGTGTAATTCTACCCCTGCATAAGGAACCCTGCAGTTGCAATTGACCTATAGAAGTTGAGGACACAAAAATGAAGGGTTTCCATTTGGATTTTTGAAGTAATGGAATAATCAGGCTTTTCCAGATCCTGTCTAGTTTCAGGTTGCTGGATTGGGCTCATGAAGCTCATGTCAAAAGAGATGAAGTGGCTGTGCACAGTGAAATGTGCACACCAGCCAGGATGTGGGGAGCTTCCAGCTCCAACATGCTATGGAAAAACACCCTAAAGCCTTGCTACTCAAACTGTGCTCCCTGGACCAGTTGCATTGGCATGGCCTAAGATCTGATTAGACATGCAGAACTCCAGACCCCTCTCTAGACCTCCTGGACCCAAATATGTGTTAAAACAAGATTCCCCAGGAAGCTAGAAAAAAAAAAAAACTGTGTTCTAAAAGACTCCAGTAGTTTATAGTAGTTTCCACTGTGAAAGAATAGTAGGATCTAGATGCTGCCTCTGGCAGGCGGGATCTAGGTTTGTGAGATAGTTACTGTACAGGTGGGATTTTTGGTTCATGGAGCTCATGGGAGAATGGCCCTGGGCCTTGGAGCATCATGGGACACCAGTGGTGCCATGGCTATTTGCAGCTCAGAAACTGGAGGAGAGGATGCAGGAGGCACAGGCAGCAGCAGAAAGGCTACATTCACTGACAGAGCAGTGCTTCCCCTACCACAGAATGGCTGGGCCTCCCAGGTCACCACTAGAAAGTGATACAGCTGTGTTGTTCACCCAGACCTCAGGAGGCCAGATCTGCTGTGTTGAGCCAGTGTGTCTGGGCAGGACAGTGGCCACCTCCAAGATACAGCTTCTGGGCTATGTGACAGCCTCATTCTTTAACATGTGTAATTCAGACTTTAAGATACATGTATTTTTCACATTTTAAGGTTTCTGAAATTGGGATGTATTTTATATTCAATGAAATCTAGAAAATCCTCTCTAATTTGCTCAACCCTATGACTTCATTACCAATTGTATCCCATTTAATAGATGAGAAAAATGGAGCTTCTGAGTTGGGAAGTAGCATGAGCAAGAACATGTAGCTAGTGACAGATGATGAATGAAATTTAAGTGTCTAGCTCTCCCTTGAGGGAGGTTTTGAGAAGGAGGAGGTAGAACCCCCTGAAGTGAGAAACAGGGAAGGGCAGAGTTAAAGGAAGAATTGGAGATTCTTGAGTCAAGGGTGGGTAGGTGGATGTGCCAGGGCTGCTAAACCTTGGTCCTGTGTTTCCTCATCACAGACAAGAAGCGCTGCCACACCCACGGTGGGACCCCAGCTGGAGGGCCCAGAGCACCAGGCGCCCCTCACCTATTTCCCGTGGGCTCAACCTCTTTCCACGCTGCCCACCTCCACCCTGCAGTACCAGCCTCCAGCCCCAACCCTGCCTGGACCTCAGTTTGTCCAGCTCCCCATCTCTATTCCTGAACCAGTCCTTCAGGACATGGATGACCCCAGGAGAGCCATCAGTTCCCTGACCATCGACAAGCTGCTCTTGGAGGAAGAAGATAGCAACACCTATGAGCTTAACCACACCCTCTCCGTGGAAGGCTTTTAGGGCTGGATCCCACTTGAGAGTCCTTTCCCCTGAAACTGGGATTTAAAAATAAGCTTGCAGTTGAGCTCAGATTCAAATCTGGAATAACCATTTTATAACATGACCATTTCATAACATCATATCAAAACATAACGTAACTACAGTTTTTACACGAAGCTAGAACTGTAGTCTTCCCTTTCTCCCTCCTTCTCTTTCTTATTTTTTTTCCAGTCCTCTTCCTTTGGTAAGAGAAACTCAGGATATTAGGGATAATATTTTATGCCAAGTTTTGTCAATTCTGCAATTCACTTCGTTTCTATTTCTATCACTTCTCATTACTCAGGGATGCCCTTTTCTTTCCAGTGCCCTCTGCTGTGTCATAGCAGCAGCACTGTAGAACTGTCTTAGGGCCAGTTACACCCTCTGTCATTTTGAGATATATGGGTGCCCTGCGGGGAGACCAGCCTTGCCAGCACCTCCTGGGCGAGGCAGCCAGGGCAAACCTGATGCCAGAGTCCTTGAGCTGTCAGTTCTCATAGTTGCTCCTTTGTTTGCTGTTCTCAGCCCTGGCCAGATTTACAGTCTAGGCAGCAAAGGCTCAAGGGCTGGGGCTCAGCATAGTGACAGATAGGGATGGGAAAGGAACATCAGGTTGGGTAGGGGCAGGTCAGGGAAGGGAGAGAGGGCAGAAGAGGGCTGGGAACACACTTTGGGGTTGGGGTGGGGGTGTGGAAGGGGAAGCTGGGTCTTAGGGGGAGAGGAAGAAGGCTGAGGAGTCATTTAGCTCTAGCTTTCTTGATTACTAAGAGGGACAGTGAATTCAGGAAAAATATTGCATTAAGAGTTAGTTTTGAAGCTCTTCTAGAGGATGTTTCCAAAGAAAGCCGAGTTGTCATAAACAGAAGGATGGATGTGTTTTGTGTCCCTTTCCAGATACTCTGCCATACCCCATGAAGCCTATTGGCAAGGGGTCCTGCTTAGTGATGTTATGTGGATTTTCTAAATGCCTTAGGGCATCTATAAGCCACCATTATGAGGAGCCAGGGCTTCTTCCTTCCAAGCACCATCCTTCCTGGGGGTTTCTAGAGCCTTAGCCAGAAGTACCATTAGGTTTTATTTCAATTTTTCTTTTATATCATTGCAGGGGACTGAGTACAATTGTTGCCAGGGTGCTTAGCTCCTGATGGTGGATGTGTGCCTTGGGAGCCAGCACAATCGTCTGCTGATGACACCATTGTCACCATTAGGCAGTCACTTTAGTCAGCAGAATCCACATAGAAGTAATATGGGAGGGAGAAGGGGAATTGCACGGAAGATGGAAGGAGACCCTCATTGTTATACAAAATACATATATGATGGTGTGAGGGGGAAGGAAAAAAAAGAGAGAAATATGTCATAGTAGATTGGGTAGAGAGAGGTGATGGGAGGGGAGGGAAGGGGAGGGGGGATAGGGAGGGCAGTAGAATACAACAGACACTAGTATTGCTGTATGTATAAATGTGGCTGTATAACCAATGTGATCCTGCCATCTGTACATGTGGAAAAATGAGAATTCATACACCATTTGAATCAAATGTATGATATGTCAAGATTATTGTATTGTCTTGAGCAACTAATTAAAAAAAAGAAGTAATAGACTGCTGGGAAATGAACAATTTCTTTGACACATTTTCTTTGCCATTCTAAATAAAAACTCTGGACAAAGTTGCCTTTCTTTTTTTAGAAGTTTTTTCCTGTTTGGGTTATATTTTAACCCAAATTCTTGGTATCTGCTTAAAACCCCAGTACACATATTTTGAATTATTTTTATTCAGACTTAATGTTTCATTTTAAAAGCTTGATACAGCAACGTAGATGATAAATGTACATCTCGATTGACAGTATGTGATCAGGCAAGGGAGAGGAGAGGTCCCAGTCCTGTTGGATTAAACCCCTGGTTCCCCATAGAAATCTATGAAAGATTTTCCAACTCTTTGAGGATTTGAGAGGATGCAGAAACAACCTTTACAAAGGAACTAAAGTTGGCAAAGAAAATATGTAGTTGTTAGGATTGAAATTGTATCTTTCCCCCTTCTTATCTTGAGGCCCAATGGCTTGTTTGTAATCATCCATTTAGGTTTCTTTCTGGGTTATTCTGCTAAGATGGAAACATTTTCAATAAAGATTTATGGAGTCATTTCTGCACCAAAGTGTTTTATTTCTTATAAAATTAATCCCCCCTTAGTTTTCAGTCTCCCAATGGCAGTGCCATTAGAGGATTTGGCAAAGTGATCTGTTGCAAGAGGAGATAAAAACCCATCGCTGCTGTGTTCACCGTCCAATTATCCCGTATAGGTCATACACATGGCATGGCCAGGTGGCTTGGTCTCCAGGAGACTGGGGAGTGGGTTGGTGTCTGAGAATTGAAAGAAAATATTTCACTTCTGTTGCTCCCATTATAAATGTTACACAAGTAACTGATGATGCTGGTTGTCCAGGGAAAAGTTCTACCATTTGCATTTCTAAAGATCCACCAGTCAGGACCCGGGGACTTGTAATATCATGCCCAGTGAAACTCATCTCTTAGTGCTTGACATCACAGTGAAATGGAAATTGAAGAATTCAGTCAATTCCCTCCACCATCAATCCTTGGAGTGAGTAGCAATTTTGGAGGGGGCTCCTTTCCTGGTGGTTTCCTGAGTTACTAAGGACTTCTGAGCTCTCTGCCTTTTTTGTTAATCTTTGTTGGGGTAATTGCTTTCAAATTATCCATGTTATTCTACTGTATGTCTTATTTCCAGATCTGATGGGATAGTAACATATCCAGGTTTTTAGCTCAATTGAGAGTATTGAGACCATTAATTATTTTTGTGTAGTCATGTAGATCAAAACCTTGAAAAAAAGAGCTGGGTTTGTAGCTCAGTGGTAAAGCACTCGCCTAGCATGGGTGGGGCCCTGGGTTTGATTCTCAGCACCACATTATAATACATAAATAAAATAAAGCTTAAATTCTTAAAAAAAAACCCAGAAGACATGAAGGAAAGGGATTAGGATTTTTTCCTATAGCTTTGAGACTCAACTATAAGAAAAGCTCTATTAAAAATACACTGTGCCTTAATCAACTGTCTTTTGAAGTAGTAGTGTGAATAGCCTGGTCTGCAATGGGAAGAGAGAGGTCAGCTTGGTGTAGATTTATGTTTTGTAAGATTCTGTTCTGAACTTCCAGCATGAAGATGGGGATCCAGGAACAGATGAGTATGTGGTAAGATGAAGAAGCTAGACATGTAGAAAATAACAACATCATACAACCAAGTGGCTCAAATTCCCTGAACATCAGGCTGTAACCCATCTAAGTGGAAGTTTAAAGATATGTTCTAAAACTAAACATAAATTTCTTGAAATCAGAAACCATAGGTAACTTATTTTATATTAATTTATTTCATTTGTGAGTCTAGAATGATATGCTCAATGATTTCTTGTTGAATTAATTGGGGGGATTCTCTACTGACTGCTCCTAAATTTGTTATGGATGATTGCAAGTTGATTATAGGAGGGTCTCCATAACTGTACCTGTAGACACAGATGCTGCTCAAATGTTTTTTCTGAAAGCTTGGATAGAAACATCCAGAAGCTGGCATTCTATTTGTCAGTTCTATAGCTGCAAAAGGAGTTTGATTCATTCATTCAGCACATTAATTTATAATAATATATATTTGTGTGGTACAAGGTGATGTTATGATTTATGAAAATATGTGGAATAATTCAATAAAGTAAATTAGCATATCTATTACTTTAAATATTTTTTGTGGTGAAAACATTTGAAATTTACTTTATTATAAATTTTGAAATGTATAACATACTATTATTAACAATATTCACCACACTAAGAAATAGGTCTCAAAACAAAACAAAACCCTGTTCATCCGGTCTGAGATTTTGACCATCATCTCCCCATTCCTTCCACCCTCCAGCCTCCCTAACTACCATTCTACCTTCTGCTTTTATGAGTTTGACATTTTTAGATTCAGCTTGTGAGAATACATGTGTTTGTCCCTCTATGTCCAGTTTATCTCATTTAAATGTTCTTCAATCCTATTCATGTTGATGCAAATGATGGAATTTCCTCTGTTTTAAAGGCTCAATAGTATTCCTTGGGTATAGATACCACATTTTCATTATTCATTCATCTGTTAATGGGCATGTAAGTTGATTCTATAACCTGGTCATTATAAATAGTGATGCAAGGAACATGGGAATACAAATATTTCTGCTACCTGTTAATTCAAATCTTTTGTATAAATACCCAGAAGTGGATTTCTGGATCATATGATAATTCTAGTTTAAGTGTTTTAGGGGGACCTCTATATAATTTTCATAATTAAAATTCTAATTTACATTCTCACCCACAGTGTACAAGGGTTCCCTTTTCTTTACATTCTTGCCTACCCTTGTTATCTTTTGTTTTTTCGATGACAGTCCTTCTGAGAAGTATGAGATAGTGCCTCATCATGATTTTAATTTGCATTTTGCTAGTAATTAGTCATATTGAACATTTTTGCACTATCATATTTACTTATTGAGTGCCAGCTCTCGGATAGGCAGGTGTCAAGATTTATATAGGTGCCTGCCTTGAATAGTTTCATAGCCCAGTGATCTCTTTTCATTGAGTATTTATTCTTATATATGTATATTTAATTATGAATTATATCCTTGGACTACTCTATGAATATAATATCCATTATAGAACACTTATGATAGTAGCAATTTTAAAAGATAAGGTAAATATAAAACAAGTAATATTTAATTATTTCATTTATTAATAATATAAAACTATATTTGACCCCATAAGTGTAAATAATATTTAGAAGGGCAAATATTACTGAATATGGCTAATTGCATTTATAAATCTTTGTGATGAGCCAATTTAAAGGGATGGGCCTAACTTTGATTTCAGTACTTTGTTTGAATGGAAGTCAAAGCTGAAAAGGATATACACAAAGATATTTAGGTCCATATAAAAGCAGTGTGTCATTGGATGTGCTAAGCAAATTATAGAAAATCATTTAGAAATCCCTTCCATCAGTTATGCAAAGGTTTTGGTTTTCAATTTGATCTTTAAATTCCCATCTTTACTGAGGTCAACTAGTGTTGCTTGAAGATGTTGCATTTTTGTATTTTTAACACAATGAATTAAAAACCACCCAAACTCTTTATTTGGAAAAAAAATTTAAAAAGCTAAAAATATTTGCTTCCACTTATTTTTCCTAATAAAAAGGCTTGTGATTTTTTTTTGGGGGGGGGGGTACTGGGGATCAATTCCAGGGCCTTGTGCAAATGAGGTGAGCACTCTCACTGAGCTACCTCCCTAGTCCATGAAAGTTTTTATGGGTGACACACAGTGTGATTTCAACCTGTAGCCAAAACTGAGCACTGCCACTCACAACCCTTCCTCCTCCAGTGGGGTTGTGATTGGGGTCAGGACTGAATGCTGAAAAAGAGATTTCAGTTGTGAATTATTCATCAGCATCTCCTAACTCTGGGATTTGGTTAAAAATGTCTTTCAGAGGGAGAAGAAATACGATTGACATGCTGCTGGGGACTGAACCCAGGGCTTTGCATGTGCTAGGCAAGTTTTCTGCATTGAACTAAATTCTTAGTCCACGTGATCTATATGAATTTACCAAGATAATTCTAGATAGGTATTTCTCTTTATTCTGAAAGGGATTATTTTCCCTACCTCCCCAAATGACTCAGACTTATATTTCTATGTTTTTCCTTTTCAATTGAAATCTACAAACCATTTTACTAAACTGAAATAGCATAAGCCTTTGTGTATAGCCAACAAAGGAGCCCAGGGCCTTGGGGGAAAGATGCATTAAAAATGCCTAAACTCCATGGCAAACCTGATTTGTAAAGAAGTACTTTCTTTCTGCCTCAGGAAGTAAGTCAGGATAAAAATTTTTCAAAGTTGCAACATTGTACTCTGTTCACCCCTTGGGGAACAGTGACTTTCTGGCCTGTGTGTATTTTTTTTTTTAATTTTTATTGTTGGTTGTTCAAAACTATACATAGTTCTTGATATATCATATTTCACACTTTGATTCAAGTGGGTTATGAACTCCCATTTTTACCCCGTATACAGATTGCAGAATCACATCATTTACACATCCATTGATTTACATATTGCCATACTTGTGTCTGTTATATTCTGCTGCCTTTCCTATCCTCTACTATCCCCCCTCCCCTCCCCTCCCCTCCCCTCCCCTCCCCTCCTCTCTCTCTACCCCCTCTACTGTAATTCATTTCTCCCCCTTGTATTTTTTTTCCCTTTCCCCTCACTTCCTCTTGTATGTAATTTTGTATAACCCTGAGGGTCTCCTTCCATTTCCATGTAATTTCCCTTCTCTCTCCCTTTCCCTCCCACCTCTCATCCCAGTTTAATGTTAATCTTCTTCTCATGCTCTTTGTCCCTACTCTGTTCTTAGTTACTCTCCTTATATCAAAGAAGACATTTGGCATTTGTTTTTTAGGGATTGGCTAGCTTCACTTAGCATAATCTGCTCTAATGCCATCCATTTCCCTGCAAATTCTATGATTTTGTCATTTTTTAATGCAGAGTAATACTCCATTGTGTATAAATGCCACATTTTTTTTTATCCATTCATCTATTGAAGGGCATCTAGGTTGGTTCCACAGTCAGCTATTGTGAATTGTGCTGCTATGAACGTCTATGTAGCAGTGTCCCTGTAGCATGCTCTTTTTAGGTCTTTAGGGAATAGACTGAGAAGGGGAATAGCTGGGTCAAATGGTCGTTCCATTCCCAGCTTTCCAAGAAATATCCATACTGCTTTCCAAATTGGTTGCACCAATTTGCAGTCCCACCAGCAATGTACAAGTGTACCCTTTTCCCCACATCCTTGCCAGCACTTGTTGTTGTTTGACTTCATAATGGCTGCCAATCTTACTGGAGTGAGATGGTATCTTAGGGTGGTTTTGATTTGCATTTCTCTGACAGCTAGAGATGGTGAGCATTTTTTCATGTACTTGTCGATTGATTGTATGTCCTCCTCTGAGAAGTGTCTGTTCAGGTCCTTGGCCCATTTGTTGATTGGGTTATTTGTTATCTTATTGTCTAATTTTTGGAGTTCTTTGTTACTCTGGATATTAGGGCTCTATCTGAAGTGTTAGGAGTAAAGA